CGTCAGGGTCACCTCCCACTGAAAAGTCTTCTTCGGGTTTCTCCAAGGGATAAGTATTATGTCCAGAGACGCTTCCGGCAGCACCAGAATTATACTCGGTGGGTAACCTTGGCCTCGCATACGAATTGCTGTACATTTTATGTTATGATTATTGTTCCACTATGTAAATAGTATGTTTCTAGTTGAGGTCCTAACAGTAGATGGTAAATGTATTCAAGGACAACTAGTGTTTTTAGAGGAAAGGAGAGGAAAGGAAAGGGGAAGGGGAGAGGAAAAAAAAGAGTGGAATCGAGTATTTCGACAGAGAGAAAGTATATTCTATAAAAACAATTGAAAATATCAATTCGTGACAAATTGCATATTGTATTAATCTTTCCATGCAGTTCCATAATCCGTTAGTGGCCATTGTTGCAAACAGGAGTAGGTCTAATGAAAAGCCACTAGTACTAGTCGGACATTGCCATTTTCTTTCGCAAAGCCCCCTTGTGGAGGGAAGGGAGAATCTTATTGTATAAAAATATCCGAGGGTAACGAATAATTGGCCAAGGGTTTAAATTATATCGTGTTCATATTTATATTAGCGCAAAAGTAAATATACGCCATAAAAACGTAAAAATGGGCTTGGGGCTTGTGGCTTTGACACGGGTTGATCGTCCTGTGATAGTCCTGTGAACTATCACAGTATTAATGCGTCTAGACTGTGATCAAAAAACATTGTCTATTGTATTTTGTTATTTGGCTTTCGAATTAGAATGTGCATACAACTTTCGATATTAGAATCCAGCATATTTAAATCTTGAATTTAAATAAATCGTCTAATAGTTACAACAGATGCCTGCGTTTGCCGAAACCCAAACCCTATTACTATGCGGCTCATGATAGCGGTCTTAACAAAAAGCTGAAATGTATCATTAACCACTCAGATATTTCGCCACGATGGGCTTTGACTCGTTTGCAAAGCCAACACATTTAACACATCACGCTTTGCATTTCAGATTCTCTCATTTACACCACTACTCATTTGGCACTGAACTTGATACGAGAAAGGCTGCCAACTCGGACTGATAACATTCTATTTATTTAAGTTTATTAAATTACCTTGTGTGATTCGTTATTAAGGAATTCATTCATGCTATCACATTCCTTTACATTACCTCTCAATTCAAAAATAACCATGATTCATTACCCACCATCGAATACAGATTGAATCGAGGGATTATGTATCGGAACATTCGAAAACTTTACTTTCCACGCTGAAAGGTCCAACATTATCCAAAACTCACGAAATATCTCCCAACTTGGCTATAATAAATGTAAAATACATTAATCAGTGTTCATCTCAGCAAATATCAGCTGCCTAACCCGAGAACAGCGGGAAGCACGTCTTAATTGATGGAAGATTAAATAAATGACTTCGAATGCGTGAAGACAGGGTAATATTAGATAACAATCGATAAATGATTTATTGTATTACATCATAGATATTAAGAATAATAATTCTCGTTTTTATTCGTGTTTCTGTTCATTTCCGGTTTACCTTTCTTCTCATTAGAAGAATATAATTTATTGTTATCGTTATTCGAGTAACCTTAATTTGGTTAAACTGAATTAGTTAGAATTCCTATAATTATTATTATATTAATCGTCGAGAATGCGTAAGAGCCTCTGGAGTCACTCGAAAACTCGGACACCGTACAACCAGACATCGCTCATTACGGCAGTGGGCCTACATTCTGTGATATTTTGAATAACATAACATGCAATGCTCGAATGTCTCCCGCGAGCTATTATCGCATATGTTCACTTCAGCATGTGGAAGAAATATGAGTTGGTGTCTCGATCTTATAGTTCGACAAGGGTAGGACTCTTTATTAAGCAATTTTTATAACTTTTATAACTAAATCTCTTTCGCAAAGCGTATTTTAGCATGGACATTGATTAATCCCGTCGTCATGGTTATATTATATTGAATTTTATTAATAAAAAAAGCAAAACAACCTATTATGTCGTTCTCCAAAAAATCGTATATACAAATTCCCAAGTTTTCAATTTGTGTGGGACGAAACGATAAAACCACGCGGAATCAAATCCGTCATTCAAAAGATAGTACAGTAAATATACTACTTTCGGCCAGATGATTTTATCTCGCTCGACAATTGTTCGTATACAGCTGAAATAATTGTAGTAGCCTCGGATCCCATTTTAACCTGGGAAAGCGTGTTTACTTACGTTCCTTCTTTCCTTGAACAACAAATATACTCGCTTCTACACCACCACCGAGCATAGCAGTGGCCATCTCACCGAGACTCCTACGCATATCATTACTACCGATTCTCAATTGTCTAATTATCTCCATCCACTCATCACGATGACTATAAGTAACATTGCGTTTTCCATGTCCAACTATTACAAGATCTTTCCTTTCAACTACGCCCTTAGCATACTCAACAGCAGTTTGCATAGGTGTAGAAGATCTTAGAGAAATGTACTTTACGCGCGGATTAGAAGCGAGCGTACCATGAGGACCAAAATACTTGTTAATAAGTAGTTCGTCAGCCGCATTAGATGCTATCCGATCAGCAGTAGAATAGTTAATAACAGAAATCGAAGCAGATGACATGTGATGAGCCGGTGGAGGTTTTTGCAGATTTGCTAGTTGTGGGTTGACTGGTCCCTCTTCATCAGTCCGTGTATCATCCGGGTTAATCTGTGACGTCTTTACTGTTGGTGTGGATACAGGTATTATATGACTGTCATTATCGGTTGGCTCTGTTGATTTTGTTATTCTTAGCACTGTTGCCTCGACACGTGGATTCTCCGCAAATCGAGCGAGTAGCGATAATGCTTCGCGGTCATCAGTATCAGCAACAAACGGAACGAATACGGAAATACTGACATCTCGACCCCCGGTTCTACCCGGAGACATGCCTAGGCCCCTGTCGATGAATACGCCTACTGTTATGTCACCAATCATCCTATATACCTCTTGTATGAATTGAGCTACTTGAGGATTAGTGTCTGAATATTCCCGAGGCTTATAAAAATCCTCAGGCGTATCGTACGCAGTCGAGCCAGCGCCACTCCAGGGTATTATTAGAAGATTAGCTGATGATTGTTTCGCGCTTTGTACGACTTGATCTGCAAATTCGTGAAATGGTCTAATTGATAAAGTGGCTTCGACATCAAAAAAGTTTAGCCTGCCGAACATACGGAACACGTTCATGATAGGATCATTATGGGCAATTTTGGCGGATTCATACGACTTTATAACTGCTGATAGACGTTGACCCAGTTCCATTAGACGCAAAACATGAAGCATTATCGTATCTTCGGAGCCATTTGATCTGTTTGAGTTATTCTCGTCGCGAGGTATAGAGATGGAATCGCGTCGTGAAGCAGTTGGTTGAAGGAGCTGAAGTAAAGTCATCAAAGACGATATGAATTCAACTTTGTTTAATACAACTAGTATATTGTTCTTCTTAGAGTAATCGATGGCAGTGAGACCAGCGTGCGCGTCGTAAGATGTCAGCTCCAAGTTGGCTCGTGCTTGTCTTGCAGGCATTGTGTATACCCACATTGCGAGAGGCGTTGTGGCGCAAGTTGTTACAATGGCCCTATATGACATTATACAATATCGCCCATGTTAATAAACTCGGTCTGGTATAGAAATATGATACAAACTGTCAACATTGGATAACTTACATAAGCACAAGAATTGCAAAGACTTTTCCACCAATGACACCAGCCTCCAAACCGATGTTGAGAACGATCAATTCGACAAGCCTATTAATATTGGCGATCGAATAATATGAGAACGTAGCATAGCAAAGCCTGGCGCCAATAATACCAATACTTAATGCTATTCTGTCATTGTCTTCCATGCTTACCCTTTACAGCTCATAAATATACCAACAGTTAGCGATTCTCTCCAATCGAGACCATACATTTTAGCTACTGCACTACATCCACTTATCTTGCCAAACATAGCGACAAAAAGTACCAAAAACACATAGCCCCAAGAAGCAGCATCATTAAGTAAGCCAATCTGTGTATGAAGTCCGGAAAGCGCGAAATACTAAAGATTAAAAGCAATTAGTACAAATAATCGCTATCTAACAATCTCTCCGAGACATATTTGTTAATTAACGTACTACTGGTATGAAAAGAATACTAATCAAATCTTCAATCTTTTCAGCAATACCCACGGCAAAGCCGTCCGAATGAGGAATGATTACGCCGACCATAAAGGCTCCAAAGATAGAATGCACTCCAACAATGTCAGTAACAAATGCCGATGTCAAAACCAGAATAAGAGTAATGGCCATCATTGTGACGGTTGGACCATTGACATGGCTATTAGTTCTAATAATGAGTGTCAATAGGACCGGCCTCACAAGAAAAATTAATAGCAGACCCCACGCAACGGCGAGCAAGAAGATGTAGAGTGCTGTAAGAGAATTGGAAGCGTTGAGAATCGACACTACAAGAGCTAATAGAACCCAAGCCGTTATATCATCACCGACTGCAGCACATAAGGCTGTTGAGCCGACTCGAGTATGAAGGAGTTTGAGCTCAGTAATGATACGAGCAAGCACGGGGAACGCCTACGGATTAGAGAGATATCACAAAAAATTTTAGAAATTATATGATACACAAGATATGTAAAATATAATACCACACTCACCGTAATCGCCATAGCCACCCCTATGAATAACAGAAAACTCGCAAAAGAAACATTTTCACTCGCATCATTAATTTTATACAATCCCAGACTAACAGCAATACTCAAAGCAAACGGTATCACGATCCCAGCAGCCGAAATGCTAATAGACATTCGCGCTCGTTTCATGACCATCCTAGGATCCAACTCGACGCCAACCAAGAACAGATACAGCACCAATCCCAGATCGGCTATTAATTTTAGATAGGGAAGCGATGCTTCAGGGAAAAGGGTGTTGTTGAACCCGGGTATCCTTCCTAATACTGATGGGCCGAGGATGATTCCTCCAATGACTTCAGAAATCACTCGTGGTTGTTGCAGTCGTGATAACACGACGTTAAGAGAGCGTGTGACGAACACTATAATCACAACCTTACAAAACGTAAGAAGCAAGAGAGGGAATAATGTTGGCGAAATTTAATACGAGATTTTTTGAATATACCCAGAGGACTATACTTGTAGCAATCTTAGGATCGCAGTAATTTTCACCACCATGTCGCCTGTACAATAAATAAATTGAATTCCATCTCCTTTCGTCATATTTACCTGGATGATTAATAGCACAAGTGGATTTCCTGGATTGACCGTTGTCGGGTTCATTCCAGTGAGTACGCCTCCTTGAGATGGCATGATGGGTTATGTCTTCCTGTGATTAAAGATGTTTACGATGTTCTTTATTACAATGTTAGAGCGTAGTAATATATTAATAGGTCGGATTCGCGTGCTCCTGAGAAATCGCTTCCCAACACGCGAAGCCCGAAAACTCAGTAAATGGTTCGGAAATGAAGCATTCGATGATAGAGATATCATACAGATAAATTCCCAGGTTAAAGGTAAAGAATTTGCTTTATTAAGAAAAACGGATTCTATGATCAAAAGCTGGTTTGGTTGTCTCATGTGATTACTATTTTTACCCTCAATTGAAAATGCCCGATTCATACAATGATGGGGAAATGTGGGAGATGGAAAAGTAAAAATTGTCCCAAACGACATTCGAATTCTGTACAGAAAATAACTACCTTTGAATCTGTGTGCTCCTTACTATTTTAGTAAAATATGATGCATTTATCCAATAATATCTCATTTGTATGTCATCCATTATGTCATCCTATGTGGCGTATCCTATATTTACACACATTAACCTAAATTTGCCAAACAGTTCTGTGTCTACTTACTAATATTAATCTATATAGATAGATGCGTAGTGGCTAATTATGATTCGTGAGATGATGAGAAGAACCCTCATGTTTAGCCCATTCGCGTTCACAAATTGGGGCTGTCGCAGGATTTGACTAACCTGAGCTGTGCTAATACCGAATTCTTTAGCAAGCACGTAATTTTTTGTTGAAAGTAGACTGTTAGCTTTCTTTCACATAATCGCTTTTTCTGTGACGCAGTTATAGATCGCCTCTTAGAACGGTCCTTCATAGTAGTAGTATTGTACAGACGTTCTAAGTACATATAATATGGGGCGGACTGCAACAAAACCAGACAAAGGGAACATTTTATAAATGAGGGGCTGATTATGATGTGGCCGTAAAATTGACCAGGATGACTGTGACATTTTGAAAGTAATAATGGTGCTCATTCATAACCTATAATTTTAATGTTCACTTTATCATACCAGAATGTGATGAATATAAACCATAACAGGATTAATATGGGCCTACCTCTATATAAAATTATAATATGAAACTAATTTACATTAAATCCACTATGGAACCCAAGAATTACAGCAGCATTAGAAGTATTTTAAAGAAAGCTCAAGGAGAAAAAATTGCCCCTTATGTTTTTAAAATGAATGACACTAAAGTTCTTGAAGAATATCTAGATAAAGAAAAAATCACTTATGAGATTTACCAAAAGGAAGGGAAAATCATAACTAATAAACGAACCTTAACCCTAACTTACGATGAACCAAGAAAGAAACGAAAACTAGAAGCATAAGCAAATAGCTCTTTCTTTATTATCATTGGATTACCATCAGTAATCGGGATAAATTTCCATGATTCTTTATTTACTACTCGAATAAGAATAAATACGATAATTTTGATTCGTTCCTGCCCCAAACACTACAAATCTGACACAATAACAATTCATGACCAGCAAACCATTATCGTATTAGAAACATTGAGTAAAATGAATCAGGAGAATAAAAGGCGATCGATCCAAACTTCAGGAGACTATGATATCTTTGCTTATTTTGTGAGAATGACACGCTATGTTAAGAGTGTAAGTATATTGTTGTTGTTTCAGGGTTAAACTCATTGCTTTATAAAACCTGAATTTTCTAACTAGGGCAAGCATCTGTGCAAAGTTGCGGATCTGAATGCTATACCGAAACTGAAACCTTCTGGGTTGAATTTACTGCCTTGGAAAAAGAGAAACGTTCTCCTGCACAAATGTACAATGTCTTGTCCGGAGAAATAGGTCTCAGTCCAATATCGCTTGCAAGTTTCTATCGGCATCAAAAATGGCCGCAAAGAATATTATTAGACAAAATCGAAGCGAAAAAATTCTAGTAGCTGTAGCAGAAATCTATTTTTGAGTAGCGCTAACAGAGAAATAATTCGCGATGGCAGCAGTTTCAAAAATAACGATAACAATAATGATGATATTAGTTAATATTCGCGAGCCCAAAGAATAGGAGTAGTTATTTTGGGTCTGACTACTTCTAGTACTCTGATCAAGTACTAGTTTGCCTCCCATGCAAGCTCGCGGTTATTTAACATCAGATATTGTCGTTGACAAAGTAGACACTGTTTGTAATAAATAATGTGTAAAGTTATATTAATACTGCGTAAATGACATACCAAATTCATGCCCGTTGCATAAGTGTTAGCAAATAGCAAAATTGACATCCGTTTAAAACTATAAAGTCTCTAAACACAACATAAAATAAACGCTTTGCACAATAAAACCAAATTTATTATGCTAGCATCAATCGAATAGGAACAAATTGCTCACATTTTTTTTTCACCGAAACACTGTTGCTCATTGTCGAAACACTGTTGCTCACTGTCGGAACACTGTTGCTCACTGTCGAAACACTGTTGTTCACTGTCGGAGCACTGTTGCTCACTGTCGAAATGCTGTCGCTAACTGTCAGGCTACTGTCATTTATTGACGAAATACATTTATTTTTTGCGCGTAAATGCTCTTTTAACCTGCAAGGATATTGAAACAGCTTACCGCAATATTTACATGTTCGGTCGCTTAATTTTTTTTTTGCTCCTCCAGTGTTTGCTCGGTTATTGTAGTATCAAGGGGCAGAGCCCCATTGCTTCGCAATAATGAATCGGGAAGTTTGAAGT